ATCAGAACAGTCGTTCATATCTTTATCACTGTATGGTTACAATATTATGCTCTACATGAAACTGTCTCTGAATACCAATCTAAGTAGTTTATTGATGACTGGCATTTGTTACCATTAGCATGTTACACTATACTTCAGGCCCTACGCTGAGTTTCTATTGGCTCTGGGTATAATTGAGAGTGCATGTTTTTATTTAAAAATCCCTATATGAGTTGGCAAAATATCAATCTTTTTCAGCTGTCTGATTTAGTAGTGAGAATCCTGGCTACTGCAACATAAAATCTGAAGCTTGCAGACACTTCTTTTCAATATGTCCTATCTCTTAAATTTCATCAGACTGCCAACCCCCCCCCCCACGCCCCCAACTGTTGGCTTTCCAAAAGCTGTTAAATCATATTGTTTCAGAATACCTATAGCAATTCCTATAGGAATTATAAAGTCTAAAGAAGAGAAGAATTAGATATGATAGCAGTAAGATGATCAAAGCCCTGGAGACTAAAACATATGAAGAAGGGCTGCAGGATTTGGGTTTGGCTAGTCTAAAGAAAAGAAGAATTAGGGGTGACATGATAGCAGTATCCCAGCATTTGAGGGGCTGCCACAAAGAAGAGAGGGCCAAGTCATTATCCAAATACCAGAGGGCAGGACAAGAAACAATGGTTGGAAACTAATCAAAGAGAAAAGCAATCTGAAATTAAGCAGAAACTTCCTAACAGTGAGAACAATTAATCAGTGGAACAGCTTGCCTTCAGAAATCCTGGGTGCTCCATCATGGGACGTTTTTAAGAAGAGACTGGACAACCATTTGTCTGAAATAGTATAGTTTCCCCTGCTTGAATGGGGGGTGGACTAGAACAGGGGTCTTCAAACTTGGGAAATTTAAGACTTGTGGACTTCAACTCCTAGAATTCCTCCTCCAGTCATGTTAGCTCAGGAATTCTGGGAGTTGAAGTCCACAAGTCTTAAACTTCCCAAGTTTGAAGACCCTTGGAGTAGAAGACCTCCAAGGTCCCTCCCTCCAGTTCTATTCTATTATATTTGTGGTGGTGATTATGATCTATGTTTCTTACTGTTATTTATGTTAGTGTTTTATTTATCATCTATTTTTATGTATTGTATTATTATAATTTACATCTGTTTTGAGCTGCTACCAAGTCCAGTTGATTACAGGGAGTACAAACTTGTAATGAGGAAATAAATAAATACTCCTTCTTTCAGAAGAATACTCCCAAAATACTTACGAAGAGTATACATTCATATCATGGCTTAGCTCAAACATCTGAAAGTTGAGAAAGAGTAATTTTTCTCATTGCTTGCTTGATTGCTTGGGGACAACTGACCATGGAAGTAAGTTTTCTTTTACCCACGTTTCCTATTTCTTTTTTATTTTTAAAAGATGTCTAACAATTATTGTATATTTGTTTATTCTAAAGCAATTTCTCTATATTTGGAAAAAAATATCAACAAATCAACTAAGCACTGTCAGAAGAAGCAAAATAAAACTATGCCATTTAAAACAGAGGTAGTGGAAAGAGACAAAAAGCAGTGGAAACACTTACAAAGAAAGAGTTACATGCTATTAATTTCAATAGGAGGAAGCCAAATCTTGGGACTGGAATCTTGGTCCATATGAATTTTCATGTTTTCATAAATTACAGTGTTGAACTTTCTGCTCTTTAACTAATATTTTCAACATTTACCAACATTTACCAATTAATGTTGAACTAATTTAGAATGCCAAATTACAAAATAGAATGGAATGGAATGGGAGGGGAGGGGAAGGGAAGGGAGAAGAGAAATCTTTACTAATTAAATCATTTGACCATATCGACTATATAAAACTGATACAAAAATACAAATGAGAAAACAATAATAAATTGTCACCCTTCAGATAACTCCAATCTAATCTAAATATTCTGTCCTGTTCTAAATGACCTTTGAAATAAAGAACTGCAATCTTACCGTACTAGTGATATGCAGGTTCATTTATTGCAGAAAGTAAGACTTTTTCTCCTGGGTGCTCCAGTATTTTTTAGCTTTTAAATAAAAATCTAAGTAAGCAGATCTTTCTATAGAGTACAGTTTGCAGTCAAGAAGGATATATATCCAATTTCTTCAGTGACTGGTGCTCCTCAAATGCCCAATCTTTCTTCAAATGGAACTCCATGAAACCTCCCATATCTTACCATGGAGTCCAGTTGTTCGAAACGAGTTTAGGAAAAGCTCTTCTGTGATGTTGAAGCATGTAAGTTGCTAAACACTTTTACAACTAGGAGGATTTCTCTTACTTGAAGATAAATACTAAAAATGTGGACAAAACATTGCCATAAAAATATTTATAATATAACTCAGAGTATTTTTTTTAAAGTTATCATTTCTACAGTATATTTGCCAGCATGCATTTATTTTGATTAAGCTTCCTTTTGGAATTGCACATTTCTTTTATAAAAATCTGCTCCATATAATTTTGAAACATTTTGGAGTTTTGTATTTTAACTTTTTAAAATAAAAATAAAATATTTCAAAACAAAAAATCTCCTCCATCTTAATACACTGCCTAGAATAAAATTGTATTATCTTTCTGCTGACAATTATCTTTGCAATGACCTTCATTTTCCCATCTGGTCCAAACTTCATAAAAGAAGAAAGACTATATCCAGAACAGCTCCCACATACAGTCCTCAAATATTTCACCTATCATGCAGCTTCCTCAAAAAGAACTTCCTGCTTCCAAGGTAACAGGAAACATTTCTGGACAAATAATGATTTCTCTGAAGTCCACTCCCTATAGAAGGGACATGGGAGAGATGAAAGCTCTTTAGGGAGGAAGCTGAGCAAAATGGGAGGGAATGAGAAAGTATATGCCAAAGATATAAGAGTAGTGAGAATTCAACTTATTAAAAGGACGTGAATGCTATAAAAAGAAAAAAGAGCTTAGAGGAAGATTAACACAAAAATTGGGAAGGATGTTGAGGGTATCAGCTGCAGCATCATGACTGTTCCAAAAAGAAACTTTGGGGTATGTCCTGCTGTACTGTAAACCAACTGAGCTACTTAATACCTTTCCAGATTATATAAACTTCTGGGCATCCTTCACCCACCATGACTGTGGGGATGCTGCAACAGTCGTAAGTGTGAAAAATGGTCATAAATCATTTTTTTCAGTGCCATTGTAACTTTGAATGGTCACTCCACACAAGCAAAGTACCAGCAAAGGAGGGGGAAAAAAACTCCAGAGACGTTCCTGAGACAGGAAGTCTAGCCCTGCCAAGAACGTAATAAGGGTTAACGGAGAGGCAGTTTCTGTAAGCAACACCAGAATGTTTCTTTCCTGCCTTCCTTACAGGATTAGGCCAGTAATTTCTTCTAACAACCAGTTCTCTGAATTGCTTAGAATGTTAACAACTGGTTCTAGCGAATAGGTGCGAACTGGTAGAATCCCACCCCTGCTTCCATCCTTCCAAGGTAGGTAAAATGAGGACCCAAATTGTTGGGGGCAATATGCTGACTCTGTAAAAACCGCTTAGAGAGGGCTGTAAACACTATAAAGCAGTATATAAGTCTAAGTGCTATTGCTATTGGTATAACAGACTGGGGCAGCATATAAATTAAATAAATATAAGCCAATTTTCCAAATGTGCTGATAACAGAACAGCTGCACTCAAGGAAAATATCTGTATCATCCCACAAATATATTGCAGAAAAGTCATTATTTAGCATGATATAAAATAGACATCACTCTTTCATTTAAGTAATCTCTTTGTTATTATTATGTGCTTCTCTTATGTGACTCATCCTACTATGAGGAAGTGGGAGAAATTCATTAATTCATTCATTTGATTTATACTGTCACTAGAGCAACAACATATAAAAACTGGTTACAAAATGAACAAAAATAATGCAGAAATATTTAGTGCAGATAGATAAAACCCAGTCAACAATAAATTAACAACTCCTCATGGAGTCCAACTAACCTCTTGATTCCCATGCCTAGAAAAACATGCAGTTTTTGAAGCTACCAAGCTAAATCATGCTAGAAAGGATCTTTCATATACAAAGTGGCATAAGAGATCAGTGAAAAAGATGAGAATAGGTACTCAACTTTTCATATTGAAATATAATGTAATATTAAAATCCCACCAAAAATTGTGAAAAATGGTAGTGACAGCAAATGTTTCAATGTTAATTTTTAATATGGTGTATATTGATAAATATAACCCAAACAAAAGATTCTTAGAGATCCTCCATAACTTTTAAAGGTGAGAAGGAGGGGGGAAAGTTTAGGAAACAATGTTTTAGAGGAACTAACAGAGAAGGCTATTTCATACAGTGTTTAATGACTGTTTATATTCTGAGCTGTTTGTTTTATGTATGTATTTGATGCAACGTTCAAATATCAAGATACATATTTTGAAGGATGGGTTTATGTAAAATCACAGATTGTAAATAATAATTTTTCCATCATCATGACTTTCCATGAACACATATAGCTGGAAAAGTAAAAAAAACTAAAATGCTACCCAAAAAACGAAAATGGTCAGGTTATTAATCTATATTGCCCCCAGGAAACCTTGGGAATATAAAAATTATGAAATTTATTTCTGAATAATATTTACATAAAATTGCATTGTAAGTAAACAGCCACTTAAAATCAATTGCATCAACTTGCTTTTCTCCAATAAAACAATTATATAAGATAAGTAACATATTTTAAAAAATCAAATGGAATATAGTGCACTAGTTACATTTTCAAAAATGTATGCTTCAAGGAAGATATTGGTGATAGATAGAAAATATGTTTATGTCCTTTCATTGCCTTAAGCAAATTGAATATATTAATATTGAGCATAAAAATATTTTATATAATTGAAAATACCTACTATAATCAGTGACAAATCTTTTTGAGGATTTTATTATTTCCTTGTCTCATCTGTTATAAAAAGTAATTCATAATTCTGCATAATTTTATGGTGTAAGATTTTAAAAAATAGCAATCTTACCCCTTAAGTGTGGATCCCAAGTTCATTTGGTTCCATGTCATGCATTCAAGCTGAGAAGTCATTTGGTATATATTGTCACTGTTATAAAAATATTTCCAGTTAGTACTAAAATTATATAATCTATTTCAATAATTAGTTCAACATTATTTCCTTTTTCAAAGCAAAAAACAAAAAGCAATCTAAAGTAATTATACTTTATAAATTCGTAGACAAATTTATAAAAATAATTTATAGTTCATAAATTTTAGGAAAACAAAACGAGTGAAAAAAGAGAAAACATCAAAAGAAGATCTATTATGGAGAACTGGAGTTTTAAAAAGGCCCACAAAATGATTGATATTCAGATGATAGAAAGACCCAAAGATACTACTCTAGTTTAAAAAATCTGTAACTTGTAGAAACCCTGTTTAAATCCAGCATTTTGTTTGTATATAGATTAGACTATATTTGTACAACTCTTTGTAAGTTCTATTACTTGAAAGATTGTGAATTTATATTGTTTCATTATCACCTGGGCAGCCCAGCTGGTTGTAGAATAGCATCTTCTTATCTTCATTACTATCTCCTCTTATTAGTATTGTTATGAGGATGATTATTCTGTTGCTTTGCATATACACTGAGAGCTTCTACACCAGAGACAAATTCCTTATATGTCTAATCACACTTGGAAGATAACATATTCTAATATTTTTCTACTTTTATTAAATTGAATACAGTTGTAAAATTATTTCTGTAATCTTACCCCCAAGAAGTAAGAACTATAATTAGTTTAATTGTTCCTAAATCTGTAACATCGTTCCTTTTTTTGGAAAAACATATTGTCAAAGCTTTATCAAAAACGGTGTTACATAAGTAATTAGCTGATTTAGCTAATTTGACACAATATCATATAATAGCATGTAATATCATCAGAAAATTATTAGCACTAGTCAAAGAGAAGAAAGAAAAAATTAGATTTAAAAAAAATACTTTTTCCATATAACATCAGTTGAGACACTTCTCTTTTTTTGCCTTTTTAATTCTTTCTCAACAGGCTAACCTCTTCTACATCTCTAACCGATCATGTCCCTCAATCACAAATACATTTTAGGCAGATTGATAAAGTGATGCACAAATTACCCAGATAGATATTCATAGCACATAATTACAAACTTTGGAGTAGACAAATTATCATTTGAAAAATCTCTCTTTCCATGATGATTTCCAGAATAAAATGTTTTGCTGGCTAAAAAGTGAATTAAACATATTTACAAGCTTCTAAATAAATACACTTCTAGATAAAAAAGAATACCATTTCTGTATGTGTGTTTTTATGTATATGTATATGCTCTACAGTTTGTATTATACTCTTAATTATGAGACAAAATATTTCTGTAAAAACCTTAATGTGTTTAATATATCCTAAAAACATACTTACATGAATCATCCATTTATTGTAAATTCATCTAGCTTGTTTTCTGAATTATTACAGCTAAGCATACCAAAATATATTTTAAATCATTTTCTCTACAAAAATCAGGAGTTTAAATTTTGCCAAAATACTTTTTACATACACACACACACACACACACAGAGGTACCTGAAGAAAGTAAAGTTAGATGACTTAAATTGCAAGGTATGCGTAATATCATTTATCATTACCTCTGCATACTATTATTCATTAGACTGTCCGAATTACTATTATGTGACTACAATGACCTGCATATCAGTTCAGAAATTGTTAAGACACTCCTGCAGTTTTCTTTTTGCAACAGAAGCTCGTGCTGGTCTGTGCCACCACATTTTGCAATTCCATGCATTCTTCTTGTAATGCTGATGTAATTAATTCCTCAAGGGCCTTGATTTTTATTAGAAGAGCCAGACCTTGCATTTACAGCAGGAGATTTTCCTTTAACTTTACTTCATTTGACAGTTCATTTATAAGAGCCTCCTCCACAAAAACCTCTTTTTTTTCTTAATTTGCTTTTTCATCAAGTCATATACTTACTCATCTTGTCATCAACAAAAAGACACAAAAATTGCCAGGCCTGGGAAGAGAGCTAGAACTTGAACATTAATAGGGATAACTTTTTACTCATAATGATAGAGAAACCAAATTTGATGTAATCTTCTCAAAGCACACTGTAATATGTTTATATAGATTGGGCATTGAGAAGTGGAACAAATAAGTTAGAAAACAAAATAATCTTCAATTCAGTAATAAATTGCATAACAGAGAGGTCTTGGCTTAAGAGCAGTCAATCAACTATTCGAAGTTACAACAGACCCAAAAAGGGAATGACAACCTGGTTTGAAAGTTCTAAAGTCACACACACACACACACACACACACACTGACATGATCGGCAACCAACCTGCACCTACAACCATTTTCAGGGCCTCCACAGTCATGTGACCATGATTTAGAACTGTTTTGCCAGAAACTGGCATTTACTTCCAGCTTTTGGCAAAAAAAAAATTCCTCATGGTGAACAATGAATTAATTTAATGACCACCACAAAAATCAGATCTGGTCATTGCTAACCCACCTTATGACATTATGACTTACAACTTAACGATGGTAATTGCCAGGCTCAATTACTGTCGTAACTCGAAGGCTACCTGTATAAAAAGAAATCATAGATATCTCTAGGATCAAAGACAATATCCATCCACTGTTCATTTTTCAGATCACCCAGCTAAACACTCCTTAGGTCACAAAAGTAACGGATGAAGACAGTAGCTAGGTTCAGACATTGAGCTAAGCCAGCTTTTACATATAATTCTAGTATTATATGAAAGGAATACAGTAAAAGTTCTCCATGACCACTTATTCAGTTTTAGCTTTTCCTCATGAGGGAATTGCTATCTCTCTCATCATTGTGGATGCTGTTTCCTTTTGGCCAGAGGTGCCAAACTCAATTTCATTCAGGCCACATCAGGGTTCTGTTTGACCTCGGGGGCCAAAGTGGGTGTGATCAGGGTGGGAATGGCCAGCTCTTCATCACTCGACGCCTGTGGTGGCCCAAGCACTCTGCCACAGAAAACAGGCTCCCAAGCTCCATTTTTGTCTGTGACGGCCTCCTGCAACCCTCTGCCAACAGAAATGGAACTTGGGGGGAGGGGGTCACGTTTTCAGCTGCGACAGCCTCCTGCAGCACACGGCCACGCCATTTTTGCTAGCAGAGGCACCGCAGGCAAGTCCTTCAGTTTCCAGGGAAGCCCCACGGGCCAGATCTAAGCACCCGCGGGGCGGATCCGGTCCCCGGGCCTTGAGTTTGACACCCCTGCTATAGACCTTCCTACTCTCTAATACTATGTGTTAATGGCAATACCTATAAACTTTCCCAGCATTCAAAAGCCTAGAAGTGCAGTTCATCATACAATCAATATAAATTATCTGTCAGTATGAGGGGACCTTGGTGCTTCTCTGAGCTTGCTTGTTTTCTTGCAGAAGTTTCATTATCCAAACTAGGTAACATCATCAGTGTTAGTCATCATTAGCACTAATGAGGTTGTCTAGCTTGGGTAATGAAAATTCTGCAAGAAAAAAACAAGCTCAGAGAGCACCAAGGACCCTGGGCTGCAAATATTCTCCTTTATTATCTGTCAGTATGAATTTCAGCACAGAGAAACTATTTGGTGAGATATATATAATCTAAGCAATCAGAAAAACAAAATGTTATATACTAATTTTAGCTTTTCTTTTATCCTGCCGACTTCGCATTGTTCACAAATATTTTGGGTATTGTCCGAAATATTTCTTAAGTGTATCCTGTTGGAAGTTCTGGAAACATGCCTCTTGTCATTCTCATGAAAATCCACTGTGTATTATGTTAGGGGCTTTCATTGTTTAACCTTTACCTAAAGTCGAATATTATGAAAGATGCCAAAATCAGATCAGTACTTACTTAAAAGAAAAACAGTTGTTGGAATGTTCAGGATACATCAAGCAAGCCAATATAGAGGGATGGGAGAAATGAAGGTGATTCATCGGTCACATTTATGAAGTGCTGCTGGGTGTTTTCTCCTCAAAGATAGGTGCTTTAGGTGCTGCATATGGAAGGCTGCTTTGTCTTCATATAAATTTATGTTTGATGTGCCATTGTGTATATCTGGCCAAAATCTTGACACAATTGTTTGTATGTGAAATATGGCAAATATATGAACATGCCTCCATGTCATGTTTTACTGCAGTTATTTATAGCAATACTTTGCCAAATATTCATATGTGACATAATTGTATGCATACTGACTTTGCATGCAACTGGCAAATTTATTTCATACTTTTTTTAGGTTTTATACAAAATACAGCTATGTATCATTGTGTAAACGAATTGTGGGGGATTTTTTTTTAGTTATGTAATTTATAGGACACCCCAAATCTACATGCATGAATGTGTGAATCAGTCTGCATTTTAGATTTAAAGAGGTTTCCTTTAGTGTGGTCATGAAACATGCTAACGTGCAGGCTTGTATGTGAAACAGCGGTTCTATGTATATGCTGTTGCGTACAATTGCTTTTGTTTGTGCCATTTTGCACCTGAATTTATAACATCCATTTTTTGGATACATGAATACTTCCAGAATTTGCTTTTAACTCTGTACACCCTACTGTACTTCCATATTTTCATTCATATCTTCTATTTTGCCTTTCTTTGAACTTCAATGTATTTCATTTTCAGATTTTTAGCTCCAGAATCTACAAAATCCTGCGAACCAGTAAGACCCTCTCATCAAAACATCAAGGGTAATGTGGAAATCATTTTCTTTTCTCAAGCTTCAACATGCATATGAATGTTCTATGCTTTTTCTAGCACAAAGAAAGCATCTATATCGACCCAATGAGCATAGGACTAGGATGATGGTGTTGGAAAGCCTTTAGGGGAAGTATTGTATTTCCAATTAAGTTTACATTTTTGAGAAGGCAGAGAGCTTCATGGAAAGGTTGGAAGAGCTGTTGGGGAATAATCTCATCAAACTACCTTAAGATAAAAGGATGTTTGCCAATATCTGGCGAATATCTGTAGTTCTGTATAGGATGAGGGTGGAGCTTTATTCTGCGAGCTTGTGGGTTGGTTTCCAGATGTTTCATTATCA